AGATTGGATTTATACCCCGCCCTTCACTACCCAAGGTTGTCCCAGAGCGACTTACAATCTCCTTTCCCTTCCCCTCCCTACAACAGACACCCGGTGAGGTAGGTGGGGCTGAGAGAAACTGCTCTTTTTTCAAGAGCAGCTCTGACAGAACTGCGACTTGCCCAAGGTCATCCAGCAGGTGCAAGTGGAGGAGTGGGGAATCAAACCCGGTTCTCCCAGATTAGAGTCTGCGCGCTTAACCACTGCACCAAACTGGCTCTCCAGGGAAAACTTTTCGACAGTCAGAGCGGTGCCACAGTGGAATCAGCTGCCTCCGGAGGTGGTGAGCTCCCCCTCCCTGGCAGTCTTTAAGCAGCGGCTGGACAAACACTTGTCAGGGATGCTCTAGGCCAGTGGTGGCGAACCTATGGCACGGGTGCCAGAGGTGGCAGTCAGAGCCCTCTCAGTGGGCACGCGTGCCATCGCCTCAGCCAGGCGCCGCCCATCGTTAAAGTGTCGAATTCTCTGCCAAATAATTTTAAGTAAATGAAAGCCTTTGGGATTGCTTTCCTGACTTTGTTTGGATCATCTTAAGTTAATGTATGAGTTGTTTTTTCTAAAGTAAAACCTCAGTATTCAGGTTAGATTGCCGTGTTGGCACTTTGCGATAAATAAGTGGGTTTTGGGTCGCGGTTTGGGCACTCAGTCTCTAAAAGGTTCGCCATCACTGCTCGAGGCTGATCCTGCGTTGAGCAGGGGGTGGGACTAGACGGCCGGTCTGGCCCCTTTCCAACTCTGCGTGATTCTATGATTCTGTGATCTCTGTCGCCTGCAGGTCAGTTGCAATCGTGGGAGATCTCCAGGCCCCACCTGGAGGCTGGCATCCCTCTCCACACATGCTCCCCGGGGGAGCACGTAATCAGTGCGACGTTCATGATGAACGGGCCCCGCTTCCGGATACTCACCAGCCGCGCGGGCTCTCTGCAGCACAGACGTGACCTCATTTCCCGCCGTGGTGTTGCACTGGTCGTAGCGGGCGGCTGCGCTCAGCCCTGCTGTCTGGTAGTTGCCCTTCACCCCGCAGAGGTAGGCGGTGGCGGTGCCCGCGCTGTCTGGCACTTGCCGGTCCACGTTGTACGTCTGTCAAAAGGCAAGGGGACGCGGTTGGGAGGGCCGCAACTGGCCCCGTTTGCTCCTTCCAGAGAGCTGCCGATTGGTAGGGAGACACAGGGAAGCAAAGGGCAGGAAGCCAGCTCAGGTTTGGGAAAATCCTGGAGATTTAGGGGGTTGAGTTAGGGGAGGGGCCTCGGCAGGGTAAAATGCCACAGAGTCCCGCCCTCCAAAGCGGCCATCGTGTCCAGGGGAACTTTTTGGTGTCGTGGTTAAGTGCGCAAACTCTAATCTGGGAGAACCGGGTTTGATCCCCACTCCGCCACATGACGCCGGCTGGGTGACCTTGGGTCAGTCCCCGTTCTCTTGGAGCTGTTCTCTCAAGAGCAGTTCTCTCAGGGCTCTCTCAGCCCCGCCTACCTCACAGGGTGTCTGTTGTGTGGAGGGGGAGGGAAAGGAGACTGGAAGCTGGTCTGGGTGAAGGGCGGGGTATAAATCCAATCTCCAATCAAGTAGTTTGCTCTGGAGCCATCCTCCCTGGGCTAAGACAAAAATGTGCGAGCCGGAGGCTAAAAAAACTGTGAGCTAGCTCACACTCACTCAGCTTAGAGGGAACACTGACTACAATTACGTTTAAGTTTTTTTTGGGGGGGGGGAATTGCTACAAATCAAATTGGAAAACAACAGGAAGACAACAGGAAAACATTAGAATAAAACTGAACGAATGGTGGCAATTCCAGATGAAATGATGAGTGCAGTTGGTCTCAGCACCTTGGAAAGGGCCAAGTAGGGGAAAGCATCCATAGCCAAAGGCGTTTCAGGGCCCAAATGCCCCAGCATCTGTCCATTCAGGATGCGGGCGGCTGTGATGGTTGATACACCCATGCCTGCAGAGGAGACAGACTTGCTTCAGAAAACGAGTATTCTTTGTTCCAGTATATGGACCTGACCTCATCCCCCCCACCCCGGCACCTTCCCGGCACCTTCCGGATCAAGTTTCCTCCAGGGAGCGCCTCTCTTCCATCACCCATAGTATACCGGGGGGGGGGGATGCTCCCTCTAAGCTGTGGACGAGCCATTTGGCTGCTGCATAAATTAGTCTGCTCCGGAGACGTCCTTCCTGAGCTCAGACAAAAATGTCTGAGCCAGAGGTTAAAAAACTGTGAGCTGGGGGCTAAAAAACTGAGCTAGCTCACACTAACTCAGCTTAGAGGGAACACTGCCGGGGGGGGGGGTCACATGGGCACATGAAAATGCCTCATACCGGATCAGACCCCCAGTTCATCAAGACCAAACTTGTCTACACAGGTTGGCATCAGGGTTTCAGGCAGAGGTACAGTGTCGAGTCTAAGCTGTCGAGTCTTGTGAGCAAAAAGTCTACTTTGTGATCGACCGGCATTGAAGTTGTGAGCGAGCGATTGGGCTGCTGCATCAATGAGTTTGATCCAGAGCCGTCCTTCCTGAGCGAAGTCAAAAAGTTGTGAGCTGGAGGCTAAAAAACCGTGAGCTGGCTCACACTAACTCAGCTTAGAGGGAACACAGCCTACTACTGTATTTTTTTTTTAAACTGGAGACAGTGGGGATTGAACCTATGACCTTCTGCCTGCTAAGCAGATGCTCTGCCACAAAGCCACATTCCCTCCCCTAGCACATGAAGCTGCCTTCTACTGGATCAGACCACTGGTCCATCATGGTCTTGTCTACTCAGACTGGCAGCGGTTCCCCAGGGTCTCAGGCTGAGGTCTTTCACATCACCTCCTACCTGATTCTCTTAGCTAGAGAGGCATCCAACAAGGCTCTTCTGATGTTCTTGTGAAGGCCTCGGCCTCTATGCCCTGTTATCAGCCCTCTACGCATCCAACAAGGCTCATCTGATGTTCTTCTGAAGGCCTCAGCCTCTATGCCCTGTTATCAGCCCTCTAGAGGAACTGGTTGGCCCCTGTGTGAGACAGGATGCTGGACTAGAGGGACCCTCACTGGTCTGATCCAGCAGGGCTGTTCTGATGTCCTTATACTGTCTCAAGAGCAGGTGTGAATTCTGGGAGCTCTCCAGGCCCCGCCTTGAGGCCTGCAACCATATTTGACACTCACATCATCCGTACACTTTCTTCTGCACCACCCACCAGCCCCAGAAGCCCTGGTCTGTGTGTTCAACTGTCCAACCGGCCAACCCAACCCACATTCTGACCACTCACCGTCTCCCAGGAAGAGGATGAGGTTCTTGGCCCGGTAGTGCCGAGGGCGGAGACGGAGGGCTTGTTGGATGGCCTGGGAGGCCTTCTTATTCCAGAAGGCTGGATCCTCCTCTTCAGCTTGAGGAAGAAAAGCGGCACGTGTTAGGAAGAAGAGCTGGGTTTTTTATACCTCACTTTTCACTGTCGTAAGGAGTCTCGGTGCAGCTTACCATCTCCTTGCCTTCCTCTCCCCACGACAGACACTCTGTGAGGGAGGTGGGGCTGAGAGAGAGCCCTGAGAGAACTGCTCTTGAGAGAACAGCTGTATAGAAATATTGATTTCTAAGTGTCTCCTGCATTCTCCTGTTCTGTCTTTTGGTAACAGGCTGTGCCTTATTTCCTGTTACAAGCCAAATGGTAGGCCCCACGGCCTCAATTGCATGCCATAAACCCACATTCTTCACACTTCCATGCTGGAAGCTAGGCCAGCATGCCAGAAGCTCACGTAGCCGATGGAGAAGCTGGAGTTGGGGGCCAGGTGACTGCAGGCGTGGTTTCCAAACTTCCAGCCTATCCCCACTTGTACCCATGACGACACAGAATGGGCCACCCCCCTGCCCACTTGCATATAACTGGTCATTCCCTATGGGAGAGACGCTCTCTCTCTCTCTCTCTGCTCTTGTGTTCTTGCTCTCAGTTCCCGCTAGTGAGCTCTGTTCTTTATTGCACCTGGAAATGCTGTCCTGCCGTGTGGTCTGTTGGAGAATAAAGACTTGCTTTGGAACTTAAAGTACATGGAGTGCAACGATGGGATTTCCCTTCATGATCCCTTGGACTATTTGGACTGTAGATGTTCCTGACATGGTAAATATGAAGCATTATGTTTAGTTAAGGCAAACTGCCTTAGGCTTGTTATTTTGAAATCTTTATGGTCTAATTGCAATGCTGTGTGTTGAATAAAACTTTTTCTTGTTTCTAACTTGTCTCTGATGTTGTACCTGAATTCCAAGCCTAAATCTTGTAGCCTAAACGCTGACCACATACGCTACTATTGGAGGTTAAAATA